GACTGAGTCCAGTACAGCTAGATGGTGCCTGGCTACCACCACTGACTGCGCTGACAGGGATCACAACAGAGGGTCCCAGACAGAGCTAGAGAAAAATGTAGAACAAAATTCTAACTCACACAAAAAGACCAGACTTACTGGCCTTACAGAGACTGGAGAAATCCTGAGAGTATGGCCCCCGGACACCCTTTTATCTCTGTAATGAAGTCACTCCTGAGGTTCACCCTTTAGCCAAAGATTAGACAGCCGTATAAAACAAAATGAGACTAATGGGGCACAACAGTCCAGGGACAATGACTAGAAGGCAGGAGGGGCCAGGAAAGTTAGTAATAGGGAAACCAAGGTCAAGAAAGGAGAGTATTGACATGTCATGGGTTTGTTAACCAATGTCATAAAACAATGTGTGTACTAATTGTTTAATGAGAAACTATTTGTTCTATAAATCTTCATCTAAAGTACAATAAAAAAAAATTAAAAAAAAAAAGTTTGCGAGTAGTTGCTTTCTCGCTTTAAAATTCATGAGAATGGGCCAGACGGTAATGCTATGATGTGGTTTGTGTCTGAGTAGCAATGTTGGTCAGGTCTTTCAGACCATATTCTAGTATGGGTCTGCCTTCCCTTGGTCTTGCATAGCAAAGGGGTTTTACCAGCTTAGGGAGAAGGGGTGGCCAAAAACGGCATTCATGTTCATCCATTTTGTTATTTTAGCCCATCTTCTCTCTTCTTTTTTCAATTGTTCTATTCCGGTCTCATCCGTGCAGATGGAGTGTACCTGGGTCCCAAACATCACTGATGTGAATATGAGAAAGAGAAGCCCCTCAAAGTACAGCTGGATGAGGAGGATCACCATGGTGGATAGAGAGAAGGATTTGCACTTTGTCCAATCTTCTTTAAAGCAATGTAGGAAGTAGAATCCCACCACGGTGAGAACATGCAAGTTGATGAAAGCTATGTACATTGCAAACAGGAAAAAGTACTTGTGGTCGTTCTTGCCAACACAGTTGCTAACCCAGGGACAGTGGTGGTCCATCTTCCAAATGCACCACTTACAAACACTGCAGTGGTGGGCCCAGGTGGGCTTGATGCTGCAGCACTTGGGGCACTTGTACAACACCTGCCAGGGCTTCAGCTGTAAACTCTCAATGAATTCTTTACCCATTATTTTCATAATGATAAATTCTGCATAATCACTTTAACTATCGGTATTTTTAAAAAGCATTTATATATCTATGAGAAAGAGTATTCTCATCTATTTTGAAACCAGTATCCCCTCATTGCTATTGTTTTACAAAGTTTTTCTTTCCTATTATTTCCTGCAAATTTCCATGAACTTACGAATAACCTTGCCTATCTCCAACAACATCCCTTTAAGGCTTTGTTTTAAAAGATCAGTTTCAAACTGAACCCTCATTCAAAAATAATTTACAAGTTTGCAACTTTCATTCCTCCCATTCAGGAACAAGAATGTTTGTTTGGGAGGGAGAAGGAGGGGAATCACTCTCTAGACATAGTCACTTGTTATTTCTGGTGACGGGAAAGGCAATACCAAACATGGTGAAGTGTGCACAGCCTGACCAAGGTTAATAATGACACTAAAAAGTACACAAGAATAGGAGATACTATTGGTAAATGCTATAACATATACACTTTTGCAACAACAGTAGAAACAACAAAAAAAATACTTGAGTGGTTACATAGGTACACATGTATGCATATATGTGATAGGAAGGTAAATATGTGCAAATACGCGTGCATGTATACATGTTTCTGTTATTGTTGTTGTTAGGTCCCATTGAGTCAGTTCCGATCATAGTGACCCTATCTACAACAGAACGAAACACTGCCTGGTCCTGCACCATCCTAACAATCATTGTTATGCTTGAGTCCATTGTTGCAGCCCCCGTGTCAATCCATCTTGTTGAGGGTCTTCCTCTTTTTCAAT